TAACGTGCTGCCCTCAAAAAGATGAACTTGCCAGCCTCACGGGTTTATTCAGTGAGGAAGACAGCCCGTGTAAAACCTTCAAACTCTTACAGGCACAAATAAAAAGGCTGCTTCTCAGAGGTAAGCAGCAGTGAGAGGCCAATTCCCGCATCCCTCCACAGGCCCTCACCTGGCCCCGTCCCTCCCATGGGACTGTAGGGAGGCTCACAGGGAGGTCCCCATCCTATCCCCACCCCACATCCACTGCAGGATGCAGGCCTGGGTCCCTAACCTTGCTGAGTTTCCTCATCTGTGCAATGGGGACAGTAACCATACCCAATCATAGGACTGAATGTGATTGCACATAACGTGCTTGGAAGAAGCAGGTGGTGGTCAGACCAACAAATGTTGTCATGATCACCCTTCACGAGCCACTGGAGGAAAGTGTCCCTGCCCAGGCAATCTGCGGGGATATCTCTTCCCTTAGATCACTATTCTGTGACACAGTTTACACTCCTGTGAGTGGCATGGGGTGGGGGGGAGTCTACATAACATAAAATTTTAAATGCATTTTTAAATGCATAGTTCAGTGGCATTAAGTACATCCCATGTTCATGCAATCATCACCACCATCCATCTCCAGAACTTGTTTCATTTTCCCAAACTGAAGCTCCTTATCATTAAGCGTCAAGTCTCCATTCCCCTCCCCCAGCCCTCCCCTTCCTACCAACCAACACTCCACACCATCTGTCTCCATGAATTTGAAAACTCTAAGCATCACCTGTAAGTGGAACCACACAGGATTTGTCCCTTTGGTGACTGGCTTATTTCACTCAGAATAATGTCCTGGAGGTTCATCCACGTGGTAGCAGGTGTCCGAATTTCCTTCCTTTTTGTATATTAAGGAAATATTATATATATGAATATATATGTATTTTATATATTTCCTTCCATTTAGTCTATCCACTCACCCGCTGACGGACCCTTGGGTTGCTCTCACCTCGGGGCTGGTGAATAATGCAGCTGTGAGTGTGGGTGGGGCACTGCTAGCTTGCGGGTCTGACGCGGTATCATCGTTCTTTAAGCCGGGCATATAAAGCTCATGTTGTCGTTTAACTTCTTGTGAAGGCAGTGTAGGGGCTCCCCTCTTTGGACACTTTACGTCTGGCAATACTGCAATCCTCAGGGCTCCTGCAGCCCCTCTCTGTTCGTGAGATGCCTGGAATACCTCGCCTTCTTCAGCCTTCACCTGCCAGCTCCTACTCACTGATTAGCCTCAGTGCAGCCGTCACCCCTTCTGGAAACCATCTCAGCCCACTCCATAGCTGGCCATGCCATCCCTTGCGGGGACGCTGAAAAAGGGACGAGGCAGCAGCCAGCACGGTGGCCTGGAGCCCAGCACGCACCCACACCCCAGGCTGGGAGGCTCAAGGGCAGGGCTGTGTCCTAACCACCTTTCTGTCCCAGTGCCAAGTCCGGCGACCACACACTATACGGTAACAGCCAAAGAAATGTTGACCAGACCGAGAGATGGACGGACATGGAGCATGAGAGAAGTAGAAAATAAATACACTGGATGTTAATTGTGTGGAATGAATCCTGGAGTCAGGAGGTCACCATCTAGAGATGCCAGTTTTACTTTTCTCTTCTATAAAATGGCAGTTTGGATGCTAATATTTAGTGAACGCCTACTATGTGCCAGACAAAACACACCGATGAAGCAATTATTCCTGTTAATGCTATTATACAAGTAAGGAAACTGAGGCAGAAAGCAGCATGTCCCTCTAAGTCCACAGAGCTACGAATGTCAGAGCCAAGATTCACACCCCAGTGGTCTGGCTGCAGGAACCATGCTCTTAAGAGCAAAAGTAACCCAGGGGCATCCGGGTGGTGCAGTCAGTTGAGCATCTGACTTGTGGTTTCAGCTCAGGTCCTGATCTCTGTGTTGTGGGATCCTGATCTCAGGGCTGTGGGATGGAGCCCCATGTCGGGTTCTGCACTCAGGAGGGAGTCAGCTTGTGACTCTCTCTCCCTCTCTTTAAAAAATAAATAAATCTTTAAAAAAAAAATAGCAAAAGTAACTCAACACTACATAACCTCTAAGGCTCCTTCTCTGTCTGCTATAGTTCTAGGATTACTAAATGCTAATGATTCAAAAGGATATTCTGAGGTCTCCAGGAGTAGAGGTGACAGATAACATTAAAAATTCATGGTGTTCATTTAAATCAACATATTATATTGAATTTTGCCCTGTGTAAGGATTATAAAGAGGGCTTGGAAAGTTCGTGATCCTTTTAGAAAGACACTGATGTGTGCTCTACAAGAGAGCAGTGAACACTACTATGTTTCTTTTCAGAATGAGCGCGACCCCATTTGTGTCTTGTGAAAAAAACCAGCCCACTTCCTTGCTACTCTGCCCCAGAGGACTTGAAACCAGCCTAGTGAATTTCCTCTCTCACTGCAAACAGTGGCAGATCCAAGCCTTGAAGGGAGCGGGGTTCCTTCATATTGCAGACCCGCCTCCAGCGTGGATGTGATCATGTGTCACCATTTCACCAAATAGCAGAGGCAGTGCGGTATCAACTGTGCAAATCAACTCTCAGATGAAGGCAGAAATTAAATCTAAGGGGCCGGTGTGTGGGCGTGTGGCCTTGAGCTTGCCCTCTTGGCTTAGTTCCGACCAGTGAAACCAGGCTTTCTTCCTGGAATACCTGGGACCATTCTGAGCATCCAGTGAGCACTCCCACATTCCGTTATTCTCCAGACCAGAAATGAATACAACCACATGAAATGGAGCAAAAACAAGGTCATAGCAACTAACAAGAAATTCAAGGGCCTCCAAACTAGCTGATCCAGAAATACCTAGACCAGGACACACCCGGGTGAAGGAGCCACGCTCACATTTCATCCCTGTGGATTTCAATCTTCTAGAACAGGAGGCCAGGTCAGGGGCAGGCATCACACCCCTCCTCGCCATATCCTCCCACCAGCATCCCCTCCTCCAGCAGTCTCTTCCCTCGGCTCCCAGGATGTTTCCAGTGGAAAGGGGGAGATTTTCTTTTCCCCAAAGGCCAAAAATCCCTGGAGAATTCACATGTTCAAAAAAAAAAAAAATTACTCTCTAGTGGGTGCAGAGATCCCAGCGAAATGTAAAATTCATAATATGATGACCACACTCCAGGGCTCAGAGTCCAGGAGATCTATTATGGGCAAAACAATAAATCCTACTAGAGCCTGATGTAACCTCGGGAGCCAGAGGTTTTCCGGGTGAGCCCCAGCAGATCACCACACCTCTCCATCGTTCTGTTATCTCCTCCTGACCACCATAAAGAGCCATTATGGAGAATCACTAATAACAAGGAGTACTCCATAAAAAAAAGTAAATTAGCACAAACTACCACCACGAAAAAGCCCACAGCCAGCAACTTCCTTCCCCAGGGTTGCTGCCTCACACAGGAAGCAGAGAGCCTGATGAGACCTAGGAAAACCACAACTTTGTATTACACTTGCCCCACCCTGGCTGCAAAAATGCTCGTCAAGCCATCTTTAGCGGACTTGCCACAGGCTTCCCCTTCCTGCGCTTGCAGGCCGCCCGGACAGTCCGCCATCCTTCCCCACTCAGCGCCCTTGGAATGGCACCGCCCGCTTTATGAGCTGCCTTAGACCTCCAATAAAGGCTCGGGCCTAACAATGTCTGAAACCTGAGACCGGCTGTCTACCGCGTTACCAGCTTGCGGGCTTCCTCCCGGGCTCCTGCAGAGTGAGCACACGCATGTGCGCACGCGCACAGCCCAGCGGGGTGGAAAGCCTTCTCAGAAATTCCAGAAAGAGTTACCGGAGCAAATTTAGAGGGAAAGGACGAGAGGAGAAACAAAGGCTCCGACAGCTGGGAACACGATAGAGGAAAACACGCGGAGGGTGTGCAGTGCTGAGTTGGGCGTGCCCGGCGGCGAGATGTGCAGTCACCTCCGCCGGGGTTGGTGCGGAGAACCGAGTGCAAGAAGGTGGAGGGTCAAGTGCACTCCCGCTGCTCCGTGCCTGCTCTCAACCGTGCAGTCACCACTGTCCTAGTCCAGCTCAAGGTCAGATGAAGCTCTGCTTTAGTATCTATAGGGCTCCCTGAGTGGTGTTCAGACGACAATGCACATACCAAGTATTATAGCTGAAATAAGAGTGAGGGGGACATCTCATAGGAAGCGGACGGGCTAAAAGCTAAAGCTGGGTTAGTTGTTGGGGAAGAAGAACAAAATGGATAATGAATGAACGGACCTTGTCCACCCGCCGGCCAGCCACCTGCCACCTCCTCTGACTGCGGGCCACCCTTCAAAACGACAGGACTGTTATGCCCAAGTCGTGGGCACGGGGGATGTAAATATTGGTCTAAACAACTGAGGCCTTGTCTAAACATTCAGAGGAGCAGAGGGGAAAAGGAGGACCAAAGGGGGGAGAAAGATTTTAGAAAAAAATCTAGATGTAGAGGTTTTTTAAAAAGATTTTACTTATTTATTTGAGAGAGAGAACACAAGCAGGGAGAGGGGCAGATGGAGAAGCAGACTCCCCGCGGAGCAAGGAGCCTGTCACAGGACTCGGTCCCAGGACCCTGGGACCATGACCTGAGGTGATATCAGATGCTTAACCAACTGAGCCACCCAGGCGCCCCTAGATGTAGAGGTTTTTTTTTTTAAGAAAGATGAATGAAATGTCTGGAGTTTTGGTGTTCTGGACTGCTACCCAGGATGAACTCCCCCCAAATTATTTCTAAATCCAAATCAGGGGCACCTGGGTGGCTCAGTCAGTTAAGCATCTGCCTTGGGCTCAGGTCATGATCTCAGGGTCCTGGGATGGAGTCCTGAATCAGGCTCCCTGCTCAGTGGGAGCCTGCTTCTCCATCTGCCCCTCCCCCTGCTTGTGCTCGCTCTCAAATAAATAAATAAAAATCTTTAAAATAAATAAATTCTAATCAGTATAACGAATTTTTTTTTCATGTAAAACTAACTATAAGCTGAGAACGGTGGCGGCCGCGGAGGCTCTGGCAGCTTGGGACTGAGTGCAAGTAACAAAATCACCATGATTCTTCAGAGGCTCTTCAGGTTCTCCTCTCTCATTCGGTCTGCAGTCTCAGTTCATTTGAGGAGGAACATTGGTGTCACAGCAGTGGCATTTAATAAGGAACTTGATCCTGTACAGAAACTCTTCGTGGACAAGATTAGAGAATACAGAACTAAGCGACAGGCATCTGGAGGACCCACTGATACTGGCCCAGAGTACCAGCAAGACCTAGAGAGGGAGTTTTTTAAGCTTAAGCAAACATATGGTAAAGCAGACAAGAATATGTTCTCGGACTTCAAATTTGAGTATCCTAAATGTGAAGTCATTGAAAAACCCCAGTCCTGAAGAAAGGATGTAAAATTTATTTGGTAATTTGTCCTAGATTAGTTGTACAACTGTATCAGAATAAACATACATTTCTCAAAGAAGATGTGGTATATGTACACAATGGAATATTATGCAGCCATAAAAAGGAATGAGATCTTGCCATTTGCAATGACATGGTTGGAACTGGAGGGTGTTATGCTGAGTGAAATAAGTCAATCAGAGAAAGACGTGTATCATATGACCTCGCTGATATGAGGAATTTTTAACCTCAGGAAACAAACTGAGGGTTGCTGGAGTGCTGGGGGTGGGAGGGATGGGGTGGCTGGGTGACAGACATTGGGGAGGGTATGTGCTATGGTGAGCACTGTGAATTGTGCAAGACTGTTGAATCACAGATCTGTACTTCTGAAACAAACAATGCAATATATGTTAAGAAAAAAAAGAAGAAGATAGCAGGAGGGGAAGACGAACCATGAGAGATGATGGACTCTGAAAAACGAACTGAGGTTTCTAGAGGGGAGGGGAGTGGGGGGATGGGTTAGCCTGGTGATGGGTATTAAAGAGGGCACGTACTGACTGAGCACTGGGTGTTATGCACAAACAATGAATCATGGAACACTACATCAAAAACTAATGATGTAATGTATGGCGATTAACATAATAAAAAAATTTTTAAAAAAAGAATAAACATACATTTCTCAGCTGTCAAATGTTCTTTTAATTCTGATTCCAAATAAATTATCTGGTGATGTTGGGTGTACAAAAAAAAAAACTATAAGCATCTTCATATCTAAGGCAATATTTTTTCTCAGACATTCCTTAACCAAATTGCTCTTATAAAATCAATTGTCTTTCTGTCTGCCCAAGTCTATTTCTGTGTACACAGAAGACAATAAAGTAAACAGCTTTATTAAGAAACAGGAAGAATCCCATCCATCCATTTATGATCCAAATTCCAAACGCAGGAACCTCAGGGAGGACGGTGCTGGCAGCACCCTTGTGGATGGGCAAACCAGGGGGACAGGCCTGGTTGGCTGGCGGTGGGAGTCCCACAAACATGGCAACCCAAGGAAGAGCTTCAGGCTCCCAGTTGGGCCAGAAATCCATCTAGGGCCTTGTCAAGCATATCCCTCCGGAATGGGGGAGCAAGGATTGGGCACCATAGCCCTGAAGCTCCTCTCCGGCTTCTCAGAGACTTGCAGAGACCACCGACTCTGACCCTCTTGGTTTACAAAGGAGGGATGAAGCACAAGCTGGCTTGCTGGGATTCCGGTGCTAATTAGTGCTGCAGACAAGACAGCAACTCTGTCTCCTCATCTAAGGACAGTCCCTTCTCATCTAAACGTCTGGGATCGTCGACAACCTCCGATGTCTACCAACCCCCCCCCTTTCCTTCCTGTGTCTCTCGCCCCTCTCTTGTCCTCCCTTCTCCTCCTCCCCTTCATCTTATTCCTCCCCTGGCCATCCTTCTCCCTCTAGCTCTCAGCCCCATGGCCATGCCGCCTGGCTTGGCAGAGACCTGATGCTCCATTCCCAGCTGGGGGCCTGCAGGGAAGACATTCAAGGCCACCTGGGCAGCCACCATGCTCCTGAGCATCAGGACATCCCTCCACAGAAGGGCACACAGCTGAACCAGGCAGCTGATCCTTTTTCTTAAGCAATGTGGTTGCTAGCTGTCTGCCTCATTGGCGGTTTATTTCCTGTGCAACCAGCTGGTTAGATAGCTCCACAGCTTTGGGCTGTTCTTGGTTTCCTACTCAGTTAATAAGTCAGTCTCCTGTTGCTGCATGAAACCACCATGTAGATGGAGCAGGGCGTAGGGAAGCAACGATTCTATCTCCAAAGAAAGCGACCGTGATAAGTAAGATGGTAGTGTTTCATGGGGAAGTGTAGCTGCTCATCACTGCTAATTAAAAAAAGGAATCACACCACGGAAAAATCTCAAGCTCTTTAAGTTCCCAGAAAAAAAAAAAAATCTGAATTAACAATTATAAATCTCAGATATCACTCAGATTAGATAAAGAAGTATCGAAAGCTTACGTTCGTCACCTCTGTGGTGGCAAAGGAGATTTAACTTATTATTTGCAGTTCACATTTTAAAAATAAAGACATTCTGGGGGGACTGAGTGGCTCAGGTCATGATTCCAGGGTCCTGGGATGGTATATGTGCTGCCGAAGCGAGCACCAGGGTCCTGGGATGGAGCCAGACAGGGGCTCGGGCTGGCATGAAGGGCTCCTGCTCAGCGGGGAGTCTGCTCCTCCCTCTCCCTCTGCCCCTCCCCCCCCTTGTGCGAGCACTTTCTCTCTCTCAGATAAATAAATAAAATCCTTAAAAAAATAAAAATAAAGACATTTTGTGCATAAGAACTATCAAAGATTTTAAAACCATGCTGTGGGTGGAGAGCTAAACATTTTTCCAAGATCTTTTTGTGGTTGGCAACAATGTCCAACTCAAACTCCATTAAGCAGAAACAGTGAGTCAAAATAGCCCCTCAGCTGCAACATGGCCTATAACACTTAAGATATATTTAGATATAGTTCTGCTCATCAAAAGAATTCACACTACCCCAGAACCTTCTGATATGTTAACCCCCATAGCAGCACAGGAATATTGACCCTTTCTGGGTAAGAGTTTACAAGAAGGCTCTGAGAGCTGAAACGTGTGCAGGAAATACCGCTTGGTGGGGGAGGGGGCCTATATTTCCAGACTCTTCCACAAAGTCTGGTCAGAATCGATGCGATAGGATCAGCAAAGCATAACTGCAAAGAAAACTGTCTGCGAAAGATAAAACCGGATGGGAAGGCAGATAAGCCCAAATTCCTGGTGCTGCCCAGATCCACAGCATTGCCCGCCCTCACTGGGGGAGGCACGCTCTCTGTTCAGGAGTGAAAATGCCGAACGAGGAGTCTGCCAAGCTCCCTGGAGGGCCTCTGAGCCGGGCAGGGCTCAAAGAAGGGATTTCCATCTGTGACAGGGAATCGCACTCCATATTCATGGCTTCTCAACTAAAAGGAGTGGCTATTTTCGTCAACTGAGCTCTCCCAAATTTTCTGTGGAGTCACACTACAAAGGAATAAATGAACGTTTTATCTGCTTGGAGGTGAAGACATGGAAAAGGCGATGAGCTCATTGGCTCTGACTGCTGTTTTTCCATTTTGCTGTCAGACCACTGACAAGAGGAAGGATGAGAGGGAAGAAGGGAGGGAGGAAGGAAGGTAGGTAGGTTGGTTTTATAAAATTTACCTTCCTAGAGAAAGTCACTGGAATAAACAGAAAGTGAAGGTTGACTGTCATCTCGCCCGTTTCACAGACCCTCACGATAACCCCGCTGGGGTCCTATCACTTCCGCCACTGTGAGGAGGAGAATGACTGAGTTCAGAAAGGCTGTGCCCAAGGTCACACACTTAGTGACGTGGCCGGATTTTGCACCCAAGTTTGTTGACCCCAGCCAGATCTTCCTTTTTAAGGTCGTAAGAGCCTCAAAAGTGGATCTCTCTTAACCTCTTAGTGTCGTCAATGACTCAAATGCTACCTCAGATGTCCTCACCTCTCCACCCGCTCCTGGATACACGGTCACTGCCCGCCTTTCTCCAGGCACCAGAAACTCTTCCCACAAAGATCCCCAGCGACCTCCAATTCACGGAATCAAGGGAAACCTCCGTGCTTACCTCCTGGATCTCTCTGAGGTGTCTGACCTTTGCCTCCCTCTGATGTTTCTCCTCTCTGCTTCCATGACGCCACTTTCTCTGAGCTTCCTCCCCTTCTCTTGGCTTCTCCTTGACGTCTCTTCCCAGCTCCTCAGGCTGCCTGTGGCTTCAATGTCCCTGGTCCCACAGCTCCGTGCTCTGCTCGCTGTGCACAGCCTCACTCTCTGGGAAGAGCTCACCTTCAGGGGATGCCACCACCCTCTCCATGCCAACATCCCCCCAGACCTGCGTCTCCAGCTCTGAATCCCACTGGGACCCACTGGGACCCACCAGAACATTCCTCTTCAAGCTCTACAGGGCCCAGAACAGTTTTATGATCCACAACCATCCTCATAAACCAGACCCACAAGAACAAAAGCCCTACCCTCTCCTGTATTCTCCGTGGCAATTAATGGCAGCAGTTCCTCACCCTTGTGGCCAGAAATCGGGGAGAGCCCTCATCTTCCACCTCTCCCTCTGTCCCGTATCCCCACAGGTTCTCTATGGACAATGTCTGTCTGGTCCAAGCCGCCACCCCATTCCCACTGCACTGCCTTAGCTCAGGCCTGCACCCTCCGTCACCCAGGCCATGGCAAGGAGCCTCCTCGTGGGCTCCCCAACGCCGTTCTGGAGCCCATCTTCCCTCACTGTCAGAGCAACCTGTCGTAAATGGATATCTGATCACCTCCTTCCCTTCCCGAATGCCCATCAACAGCTGCCCAAGGCCTACAGGGTAATAGGAGACTCTCCAGCTGCAAGGCCACTCATCCTAACCCCTGCCACCTTCCCAGTGCATTACTCACCCATGCACCCGCTGTGCTACGGTAACTATGCACCCCTGCAGCTCCCCAAAGGGTACAGAGTGTGCATAACCTTCCTGGGCTTCGTGTCTGCCGTTCCCTCCAGCTGGATGTCGGGGCTGCCCTGCGCTCAGTGAGCCGAACTCCCATCCACCTGCCAAAGGAGCTCTAGCCTCCCCTCTGCCCCCTGGCAGCCCGCCCAGCCTGTGGTCCAGCACTTCCTACACTGCTCTCAAACTCCGCTCCTTGTGTCTCTAAACTAGACTGGGAGTTGCCCCAGGGTAGGATGTTCATCTTCTTTGTTCCCTGGTTACAATGTGGCAGAGAGCTGCTGCAGCTGATACATGAGCAGGAATCAAAAATGCTTATGGGCACATGAATATGAAAGCAAAGACAGTAAATAAAATATTAACACATCCAATCCGCAGCATATTTTAAAAATACATTGTGACCAAGTGGAGTTTATCAGGGGAATGCAATGATGGTTCATTCTTAGGAAATCAATAATAACAATTCACAATATTAATACATCTAAGGAGAAAAATCATATGATCATCTCCCTAAACACTGAAAACACATTTGGCAAAATGTAACACACATTTTTGATTAAAAACACCAAATAAAATAGGAATTGATGGACACTTCCTTAATTTATAAAACTATATGTGTACCTCAGTCCAAAAGCTTACTTAATGGGAAAACCTATACACATATCAACTATACCACTACCATTTAACACTGTATCAGAGGCATGAATCAATGTAACAAAGAAGAGAAAACCATTAAAGGAATAAAAACAGCAAAGGAAAGGAGTAATGATATCTCTACTTGTATAAGATAAATTCTTCTGAAAATCCAAGAGTGCCAATTTTAAAAACTAATGAATACATTAATAGAATTTAACAAATAGGTTATAAAGTTAATATATAAATATCCTTCTTATATACAAACAATTATCAATTAGAAGATGAAAGTGAAGAGCTCATTTATAACAGCAATAAAAGATATAATACCTAAGAGTAAATTTAACAAGAAATGCACAAATTCTACAGGAGAAAAACCTTGAAAATTGCTGAAAAGTAGACTTGTTCTAATGGAATAACATTCCACGTTCTTGGGAAAGATTCAACATCATAAAGATGCCAAATGTCCCCCAGGTTAATATATAAATTTAACATGGTCCCAGTTAAAATAATTATTTTCTGGAGTTAGGCAAGTTGATTCTAAAGTTCATATGGGAAAACAGGAAGAATGACCAGGAAACTCCCAGAA